GACTGTACCAATTTTCATCTTCGCTAGGCCGAGATGACTTGGATCAGAGCATGGCAATGTGCTCATGATTCGTCTATTGTCTTGAAAAGTGGGATCATTTCCTCAATGACACATTTGGCTTACTGATTAGTGCAAAGCCCATTTTCACCCTGCTGGATATGTTAACTCCAAAAATGCTGTCTATTTGACACCCCATTCCCTATTGCTTCTAGAAGCCACTTCATACTGAATATGTAAAGTGTATGTGACTGTAAACACTCATGGGTTAGCAGGTCCTTGAGTTTGGGCGCCATTGAACATTTCGAATGACGCGTTAAAAATGTGTCGAGTCCAAAGGAATACATGTAGAGCACTGCTTTTAGGAATTCCAGAATGGAATCCTTAGATTTTTATACTCTGTAAAAGAATTTAAATATTGTTTAAATGTTACAGGGATGGAAATTTTAAAAGCAAAGAGAAAAAAAAAAGACAAAAGTCAACCAATCTTTTCACGACTTCCTTTACATGATTTTTTTTTTAAATTGTGAACTTTGCATTTTAGGGTGCTTTTTTCTTTAAGCCATTTCCGTTTTCAAAATAAGTTTCTTCTTCGTAAATTTTATGTCAAACAAATTCCTTTTGAATGAATTATGTCTCTTCCATTACTTCCAAATTAGAACATTCTAGAACAATTTTTGTACGAGACATTCAGAAAAAAAGTTGTATAGTTATTTTGGGATCACCCTGTACAATTTGCCTTTCTTTAATTTTTCTAAATCAGTTATCCCAAATTAAGGATGTTTCAAACACATTTGTCAGTCCCTGACGTGTTTGAGTTACCCATGCCCGACTGTGGTTTAAAATTTAAGACATGTGTTGCCAAATTCTTGTGTATGAAATCTCAAGTTGAATTATCGAGTGCAATTGTTCTTTTTTTTTCTTGTTGATGATATCAGTGCAGTCAGTGTACTGGAAATGGTTGACCCACCTGCTGTGCCTGACCTTTGTGTCACTGAAGTTGCCTCTGGTCATAGACCATCACTACTTTTTTTTTTTTTAACGTAGATGTATTTACGCCCCAACCAACACAATTTAGCTCACTTAGTTTTGGATTTGGAATTAGGAGGCAGACCTGTCAGGGCTAACCCAGGCTGAGAGTGATACATCCCAACAGAAAAACTGAGATAGGATACTTCGAGATACTCAATACGTTCTCCCCTTGGGAGTCAAATTAGTCTCCTGCCAGTCATGTGTCAGCGAAGCAGCTAACCGCAACACCACTGACGCACCAGTGGTTGCATTTCAAAAATTGCCCCTATTCATAGTATTAGAACACCACCACCCCTAAGAGATGTACAGCATCGCAGCTTAATTATACTATTTTTATACCTTCATGTATGTTGTGTGTCTTTTCCATGTCTCTTGGAGCAGGCCCCTAGCTTCTCAATAAATGTATTTGTGAAACAGTTGCTTTATTTCCCCTTTTTGGTTTGTGTTCTTCAAGAGTGCACCATCATCATCAGCTCCTTCTCGTTCAGAACCATATCGTCAGCATCACTCCACTTTTGTTATTTCCTTCCTAGTTTTTAACTGAAAAATATGTTACAGATCTGATCTGGGCACCCTTCTTATTTAAAGCAAAAACAAAAAAGGTATTCTTTTTCCTGTCACACAACTGACCTGGGAATGCCAGTGTGGGGAGAAAGTTATTGCTAAAATAATTTCTAACTTACACAGCTTATGCTGCACATAATTACAAATGAATATCGATGCCCTATGTGATCAGACCTCGTAAGCGACATTTTTTTTCTAAATTGACTTTTTCACACAATCACATTCTACTGTTTACGGTACATATGCCAACAGAAGGTTTACCCGAAAAAACTGTATAAAAGTGTCTTTTATCGCAAGTAAACAAAACTCGTAAGTCCAGCCCTCCCCAAATGCGATTGTGATCAGAAGTCGTAAGCTCCATCCTGCTGCTTAAAAGCTTTGATTACAACTGAGCGCAGTGATTTGAGACTGGTCATCGACGTTTAGGACTTGTTAAAGAAACCCCTATCTACATCTGTACCTGATTCACCATGTTTTCTAGTTCCGACGCATTTTGTATCAGTCACATTCTACGGATCGTCATCTTCTGTCGAACCTGTTTCATTTCAGACATCTAGTATATAGTAGTTCACCACACCCATCTGTGCCCTTTATTGTCAATCCTGAACCATCTTCTCTACCTGGTTCACCCCGTTGTCCAATGTGATCACCCTATAATATGTCACTCATCGCTGACCCGCCAACACCCATTGCCGAGCCTGCATTAGTTCTGAAACCTCGCTTATCAAATCCATATGTTCAGTCACTTCAGCTTCATGTCTCACTCGAGGTTGATCCTGCATCACCTTTCTGGTCAAATTCCCCTGATCTGTCTGCTCATATACCACCCATGGTGGAAACAACGTCGCATTCTTAGCCTGGTTCCTCACAGCATATTATGTTGTCTGAACCAGATCACGTGGACAGTCTGACTTTTAAAAACAAAAATTACAATGGACGAAAGTTCCAGCAGAACGGAAGCAGGGTCAGGCATTCATCTGAAATGATAAACACAAACGCGTATGAGAAATGAAAAGGGAATGTGAATGCAAGAGAGCAGCATTGAAGTACAAAAAATTTTCCGAATGCGGCAGACAGAAAGTTCTCAATTATATCTGGCCCCTGTCCTGAGCGTCTCTAAACATAAATTATGAAAATGGATGCTGAATTTATTTAGGAAAAAGAATGCCAGAAACAACGTACTTGCAAGAGCCTGTACCTAAGGACAACAACCCTTGAGGATTGGTGTATTATTAGTAACATTGTAGTGGAAGGGGACACTTCTGTCACCAATGAAACTGCCAGCACAAAGCGTTGCCCAGACACTGCGCAAGAGACAACTCTCACTACAAGAAAGCATCCACGTAGAAAATATTTTTTATTGAAGATTTCTTTGCAAAACTGCCCAAAGTGAGTTCTCATTAATGTTGAAAACAAAACAGGAAAGTTGTAGGCCTATACTAAGCCAATTTTCAATAGTATAAACGAACTTCACAGAAGTATGTTGCGCTTTGTCACCAGAAAAAACAACAACCGCATTTGGCCATCTCAGCATACAGGGGCATTTTCCATGGACAAAATAGGTCTGGTTAAAGCGACCTGTGTGTGGGCCATACGATTGGAAAAGTCGGTGATGATATTTGGAAGCATTTCAGTGAAGGAAAGTCACAAGCTCTAGCCTAAATGGACAACGATAAGAAACTGGCCGCAGCAAGCAACGGCAAAAATCTGTGCAATCACCATGGACCTTCAGTCTGTCCTCTTGGTGCCTTGTCTACAAGCTCCATTGCTTAATTGCAAAACTAAATTGTCCGTGCACAACTTTACAATAGATAACTTGGAGACAAAAGGATGTGAGATGCTACATTTGACATAAAGGGGAGGGTGAATTGTTGGCCAGTGTGCGTTATGAGTCATTGACTGTCTGCTTCAAACCAAAGCCGACTGTGAAACAGTGATTTATCTACTTAGACGGTTGCTGTTACCAAAATTATAGAAATGCTGTGTCTAAGACACGTTGAGAAGACACCCAACGAAGTATTTTATTCACAATGTGTACGCCCTTATCATGCAAATAGCCCTCTATTCAAAATATTCGTTTCATCATAATTTTACTTATACATAGTTATGAGTGTGTTTCTTTGGCTGTTTGTATGTGCGTTTGTGTGTGTATGTGCGATTGTGTGTGTTTGTGTGTGTGTGCGTGAGTGTATGTGTGACTTTGGAGATCTTTGACAGGTGCCAAAGTTCTCCTACTCCTATGTGCATGTTCTTTATTCTTTAATTTGACGCTGCTGACTAATAGCTTAATCCTTTGTTTCTAAATTTAAACTCAAGATGCTCTCAGAATTTTGTTGTAAAATGAGTAAATAAGAAAATGCATTGCTGAAAATGCACATGAAGTGTCAGACAATTTACTCGCCTTATATATAATCCAACCTCGTTATTCTGGCAAAGGTCAACCAGTCCTGGCCCTTCTCTTGTTTCCAGTACAGAGTGCGGTAGCCATGAGATTGCATATGATACTGTTTTAATAGTAACCCGGCCGGGAATCTAACCTCCCTGAGCTCACTAAGGTGACCTGACAACCATCTACTGAAGTTGGTTCTTCTGTCGTATGAAAATATTGTCGCTTACAAGTATGCACTTTCCCAACATTTCACCATATCAAACCTCGTAAATGACAATAGTTGTCGCTTACGAGGTCTGATCACAACCACGGTAGTGTAATCATTCCTCGTAACCGTCAGAACATAAGAAAACCAATATTTATTTTTAAAACATAACTAACCTTCATTTAGTTATATTGTTTTGAGTGGTTTAAGCAAAATTGAAGAGGTCTGACAACGCTGTTTTAAAAGTAATCAGTTTTTTCCTTCTGAAAAATTATCTCTCTGGCACTTTCAAGGTCTGATCATGGAGGCATCGATATGAAACTGTGAAACTTGGCAGAACAGTTGAAATATGATTTTGCTATATAACAGTATCAAATTAGTCTAGCTGTAAATGGCAACATTTCTTCACCTGACCATACTACAATATCTTCTTCAAATTGTAGAAAGACGTTAGATGTATTTCACCTTGTTCAGCTATCACCCCCACCTGTGCCTGTGGTAAAGCCATTACACTCTTCTTTGCTATGGCACATAGGAGACGCAACTTCCAATTCCTGGGTGAGAAAATTTTTATCGAGTACTGTATCACTGTCTTTCTGCTCAGAGGTTGTATCCCTCTCAGTCCAGGTTGGCCGTGACAGACAGGGCCAGAAGCCTCCATCCTAAATTATCCAAAATTGTGTCGATGACCAACGAGGACGTAAAAATACATAATACATTTTTAAAAATAATAAACGGGATACCAGTACATGGTAACATAACTACTTTCAGCATAAAGCATGAACACAAATAAGACACAAGATAGAAACAGAGTAGCCGTTAGCATATCTGTTTATTATTGTACATAGACCTTCAATCTATACACATAGAGCTACTGGCACGTCACTACACATTTCACAAAACCAGCCTCCATTTTGTTCCAGCTACAAGGGATGTACAACCAATCTTCACATACAGAAAATGAGGCAAACGTCCCCCCCCCCCCCCAAAAAAAAAAATTCTTTATTTCAACAATTCCCCCAAAAGTCTAAGTATTTCTTCGCCATCGCATCCATTGTGTCTACACTGATTTGTTTTTTAACAACGAAAATAATCAAGAGGAACAATCCACCCTGCCTACATTTTTACTTGGTCACCCACAATGAATCAATATACAGAATTGTAAAAATTTAACAAACACCAAAGACTAAATCCAGCAAGAGGAATGAGAACAAATATGAGCAATATGAAACCATGAGAGAAAAAAAATACCACAATTAATTTATAGATTACAAGCCCAAATGTATGGAATGCGTATTGGAATATTCCCCATACAAAAAGAAAAAAAAAAAAGATGGGCACATTTTTGTATGGACAACCACGAGGTGAAGGTTATTGTACAGGGAAGAAATAGAAAAAACTACCATACATCAGGAAGTGGGGGTTGTGTGAGACATTAAAGAGTGTTACCTCCTCTATAGTTACTTCAAGTCATCTTATCTTCACAATGAGAAATCCTTCTCTCATAGCAACAACAATCACTCCCACACATAAGCACATCTTCTCACATGCGCACACTCACTCACATAGACTGCACTGCAGCAGGAAAGGGCTTTCATTCAATATAGCAATCTCTTCCTCCTCCCAAATGACTAGGACAAAACTGAAAACTTTCACAATTCACAACATTCAACGGCTTACCACTCACTTTCCCCCACAGATAAACCACTAGTCTGTCACTTTATATCTCACACATCAAATGAAACCACTCTAGTGAACACACATGAGGCCAAAGGTCAGCGAGGCGATAAATAATCATAAGTATGACTCACAAACAGGACGTGCTCTGGCTGAATATGACATTCAAGTATACACACTGCCTACAACTTAAAGCATAACAATGTACATCAATATTTGGTCATCATCGTGAATATTCACAACATGAGAAGGAAGAAAAATCACATATGCACACCAAGAAAAAAACAAAAAAACAAACAAGAACTGTGCTGTCTGCAGGTTTGCACTGCAATACCTTTAACAACAGAAGACAAGATGTTTCTCAAGCACTTCTACCTAACCCAGAAGAAATGTTTTTGCCTCTGATTTTCACACATATCACATCAGAAAGAGCCCCTCCATATCTATATTTATTCCAAACCGTGACTCAAATCCTGAGCCTACACACTTTGCCTGAGGCTGGATACTGCTATCTGCAAACTCTGAACTTCTCTGACTTTATATTATATCTCAAACCTCAACTCTCTTTTCATGACTTTTTATAAGAAACCACAATCATGTCAGTTCCCATCTCATGAAGACAAAAGATCTCAAATGTTTTACTACCGGGCCTAGGCTTGCTGAGTCAGACGCAACCAGGTCAAGGACATACAGATCACAGGGGCAAAGACGTACAGCTACACAAAGTGTGCATAAATCATTTTACAAATGCCACAAACTATCACAGATCATCACTTTACAGTTGTGCTAGGTGTATACCCATCCTTTGTCAGGGACAAACAAGCTTCCAGTACACCTCAGACTTTGGGTGGGCAGAGGAGAATTGACATTATGATCTGGGAGACTGCGTGCTACTCATGCCAAATGAAAGGCTCCACCAAAGATGTGACATGTTAAATTTACTCACGATGAACTGAACAAAAATTTCCCCCAATAGAAACTGAGAATAACAAATATATTGAATTTTGTCATAAGAAAATAGAAAAATGGTTTCAAGTTTCTGCACCTACCATGTCAATATTTGTAACTATATTGTCAAATTGATCCTAAAATACAAGTCTCCAGGATTTCCATTCTTGCTAAGATATCTACCAGTTTCACAAGTCTAAGTATTTGGATTAACTCTTTTGCTCTGGACTCATTACAAAAAAAAAGGAGAAATAGAAATACTGTAACGAAGAACCAGAAATGCTGTGCGCAGCACAACCAAAAAAAGAAAAAAGAAAAAAAGAAACACTACCAAAAGAGAATTTGCGTCACTTCCATTAGACTCTCAGTACACGTCACAGGGGAACAAAGGAGACATTCACAGAGACAGAAAATACAGATGCCTTAGAATATGGGTATGTAGCTGTCAATCTTGGCTCTGTGTCTCTGAGCCACACACTCGGCGATCCAGATGATGTTTCTGATCTCCTGCTCCTTGAGGCGGATGTAAGCGTAGAAAACTCCAAACTGGAACTGCTGCATGAAGGCTTTCTTCATCAGTTTGACCTGTCGGAGGAGAACGCGCCACTGTTATTGTCAGGACAGACTCACCGTATCCAACAGACTAAGTTTGTTTGGTTTCAGTAAGAGTTTTACGGCACTTGAAACACAATCAGGTCATATAAGAGCAGAAGATTAGAGATGTTACAAGAAAGTAACAAACACAAAAAAAGGAGGAAAGACGACGTGTTTGATGGGAAAGAAGGAACATACCACACTAGACCACCTACCAACCACCCACAGACTAGTTTCAGTAAAGAGAAGCACATCAACACAATAATGCTCACTAGCAACTTGGTGCTGGGATAAAGTAAAACAAAGACAGGCAGAAACCACAGAGGGACAGTAAAGAAGAACAGACCAATAGCGCCTTCCAACCACCCACAAGAGTAGTTTGAGTAAAGGAAGGACCTCGACACAATAATGGCTATACAGTGCAAGGAAAAAGCAAGACAGATAGAAACAACAAAGGGAAAAAAAAAAATTAGGACCCACTAGTGTCACCCTCCAACCTTCAGCTGTTAACACCGGGACACACTCACCATACCCACCAGACTAGTTCGAGTAAGGAGAGTATAGTTTAGTTTTAGTAAGAGTTTTACTGCACTTGCAACACAAATAGTCATATAAGTGCCAGAGATTAGAAGTGTTGCTAGAAAGTAACATAGAAAGAGAATAAGACGACAGACGTGTGGTTAGCTGTGTGATTCTCGGGAAAGTAGTCGAGTACGGTAGGCTACCTATTTGACATTGAAGAAAACAAGGACAGGCCGAGGCGTAAGCCACGGACTTTTCAAGACTGCGTGAGTAGCGGTCGAGGCGCAGAGCAGAGAGTTGCGACCAGTCAGTGCAAGTTGGATCGCTACATGAGGTGGGTGTGCATAGTTAAACCACATGCGTGTATAGTTAACTCACTTGCGACTGGGCCCTTTCACCAGTCACAAGCGTTGAAGACTGGCGTTTTTGGGGGTATTTCAATAAATCACCACAACTCTCAGAATTACCCTATTGTAATCATTTTTTGACACAGTAAAGTAACATTCAAGCTTAATCTAATACAAAAAACTAAAGTTGTGTAAGTCTAATACTTTAATTTGTATGATTTTTTTAAAATTGGCATGAATTTGATTTTCCGAAAAATTTCCAGAGACGTGACAAGTAGAATGAAATTCACTGCAACAACAAAAATAAAAGTTCAAAGTGTTCTGGTTTGATTTGTATACATGTGCGAGTGTTTGGTGAAAATATAAAAGCTGGTCTGTGCATTGATTCAGACCCATACACTGAATTACATGAGACAGATGTACGGCACGACGTTGTGATTTCCTTGCGCGAAAAACAACACCGGTACTAGTGCTAGATCTAGCCCTAGAACTACGACTCGGGCAGTGTTCGGGTACATATCCAGGATCCTAATTATTAGACACATCATATTCTGAGACACTAGAACTAGTAAAACGCACAGAAGTATAGAAAACGGCGAAATTATGTGATTCTTGTTCATGCGACTTCTTCGACCGTTACTATGACGCGACTGTCAGATTACTATGAGCTGTATAGAAAAAAATAAAGCCCGAGTTCCGGTCTGTTCAACCCCAGTTGGGGTCACTGTCCTTCACCTTCAATAACTTAAAAACTACCGGCCCCAGAGATACGAAACGAAGTCTACGTAGCTCAGGCTTGGCCAAACAAGGGTACGAGGCGGGTCTCGCGATCCGTGCGTGATTTGTAGAGCGAAAAAAAAATTCCAAAGTTGGTCACGCAGGGCTTGTGAGACCCGTCGCGAGCGTCGCGGCGGGGGTCACGCAACTGTTGTGTGACCCGTCTGAAGTGAGTTAAACTACAAGACGTTTGATAGGAAAGAAGGAGCAAACATCAGAGCACTCGCCAACCACCCACGTGTAAAGAAAAGTACACTGACAATTGACACAAAATGCAGACAAAACCCAATGAGCAATTTCCCCCAACATAAAAAAAAACCTGCATTAACCCTAACTCTGGCAAGGGCCGATTAGATCGGCCCATTTCCTGCCATGAAACTGGCAGGGCCGATCTCATAGGACCATATAGTAAACTGCTGCTTCTGCCTTCCAACTAAATATTTGGGGCTTCCTAAAGTGATTTCTGATTGGCTAAAAGGCTAACCTCCAACCAATCAGAATATTTCTACCATTCTGGCTTAGGAGAAGAGTATTTTGCTTTCAAAACAGAGGGATGTTTTGAAAGCTTGTTGATCAGGTCACAAGCCACTAATGCCAGTGTAGATCTATCACTTGTGTGGGTCTAAAATGGCCAAAAATCGATCTTTTTTGGATACATTTGAAAGTGAATTGACTAGGGAAAGTAATTCAGACACTGTTAGTGGTGGATTTATTGGTGTTCATTCAAGATTGGGATTAGATCTGACAGACAATGGGGATACATTACCAGTTCTCATCCTGCCCCAACTTCTCTTTCAAATGGAACTCTAGATTCTACTACTTTGGGAGTCTAATAGGGGCAGAAAAAGGAGAGCTATAGAGTAAAGTAGGTTCCTTTTGCTATACTAATTATTACAGACTACCAGCAGATTGCTGAAAACCACATGGTTGTACTTAGAGTGTTTTTATGTTGAGTTTGGTATAAAATTAGCGAGTATCAGCTGCGCTCGAAACAGACCACATGACAAATTGAAACAGTCATAACTCATTACCTGTTCTTCTCAAACCTATAAAACTATACATTTTCTGAAAGGTAATTGAAAAACCCATATTTCTGCTATCTCACATTTTTTATAACAAGAAATACATTAGATTGGTGAATATGCTAATGAGCATGTAAATTTTTTATGTCAGCCATCTTGGATTTCAAAGTTACATAACCCCTTGAAAATAAAATAAAATCATATGTTCAAGGGCAAAATATAAAAGTTCATTCAATTATCTTTCAGAAAATATATACTTTTGTAGGGTTTTTATTTGATGCAAGTCCATAAATTTGATTTGTAAAGCATGTGCACGTTTTGGTTGACTGGCCCTGCCATTCCTGTTGAAACCACTTGCCAGAGTTAGGGTTAATTTCCCTCACCTCATACTCAAAGAACTTATCCTCCAGTGTCTTGTCTCCGGGGTTGGAGCCTGAGTTGTCAAACAGTTCCTTGTATTGCTGAAAGAAAAAAAATCATCATTTATTATAAAGGAACAAAGTACCCATATCACCAACACCATAGACAAAATACCTGTATAATCATCATCATTGACAAAGTACCCATATCAATATCACCATACTGCCATAAGCTGACAAAATGCTCTTTTTCAATTTTGGCACCAAATTTTTTAATTTACTGTATATGGAAAGCCTGATGTGTCACCCTACCAGTGTGAAAAAATAAGAGTGACACCAAGGTCAGTTTTTGAACAAGGTAGAATTCAAATTTTGGAAGGACGTCTTTTTAAAACTGTTACTTTACTTTACTTTACATTATCCGTCCTCTTGTACCTCTTGGGCGTCGAGGGGAGAAAGAGCTTCCTGTCTCTAGCAAATTTGATGGCCTGGCCGGGTGGGATATTGTATGTTCTCAGGGTATCCTTCACACCCAGGATCCAGGTCTTTCTAGGTCTTCCTCTTGCCTTGTACCCTGATACTTTCCTGTAGTAGGCTTTACTGGCAAGCTGGTTAGGTGACTACGTGCGAGATGTCCAAACCACCTGATTGTTTGCCATCGAATGTAGTAGAGGGCAGGTGTTGTTCCCACCATTTCTCTTGTTGTTTCTGACCATGTCCCATCTGGTTTTGTTGACGACTCTCCTTAGACATCTCATCTCGCAGGGGGTTATCTTACGTTCCAGACTTTTGGTCAGGGTCCACATCTGGCACTAGCAGGTCAAGGTGGGGATGAAGATAGAGTTAATGAGCTTGGCTTTGGTCTCAATGGGGATGTTAGGATGTTTGAGGAGTGGAGCAAGCTGGTAGCTGACGCGGTTAGCCTTTTGTACTCGTGTCTCAATTTTTCAGTTGAGACGTCCGTCTTCTGAAAAGATGCTTGAACTCGCTGACTTGTTTCAGCGGATTTTCATCGATGGTGATGTTTAGGTTGCCAGGTGTTCTGCTGATTTTTATCGTCTGTTTTGTTTTTACTGATCTTCATGTTGAGCTTTTCACATTGTGTATTCAGCCTGTCTGTGTGCTCTTGAAGTTGCTCTTCTTTCTCATATGCCAGGCTTTGATCGTCCGCAAACAGTATCTCATACAGGTCTATCAGGTTGGGGTTTGCCTCTTTTGTAATTTTGTTCATGTATATTATAAATAGTAATGGTGATAACACACACCTTTGTCTCGATGACACGTTAAACCAGTCAGTGAGTCCGTTTTGGGTGCGGACTGTGCTCATACTGTTGGTATAGATGGCTCTCATGTTGTCCAACAGTTGTCCCCTAATGCTTTTCTCTCCAAGTGTTTGCCCCAGTTTGTTTCTATCTACTCTATCAAACGCTTATTCCTGGTCTACTAACACAAGATTCAGTTCTTTGTTGTATGCAATTGTCCGTACACTCAGTTGCCTAAGAGCGAAGATAGCGTCTGTGCACCCTCTCCCTGTGTTGCTCAGAAAGGAAATTTCTCGATAGGTGTTGCAGTCTTTCTTGCTGCCTTTCTTCTTCCAGATAGGTATCACAATTGCATGCTGCCAGTCTTCTGGGACTTTCCTCTCCCTCCATGCTTTTGGGAATATTGTGGTCAGCAAAGTGATTTGTTTCTCCACAAGCCAGAATGGCTTCAGTTGTAATGCCATCAATGCCAGCTGCTTTGTTCCTTGGACTGTTCTTCAGTGCCTGCTGTACCTCTGATCATAAGATGTTTGGTTCTTCTTCTTCTGTGTATCTTGGTTGAAATTGGCTCTGTGCATTTCCTCAGCTGTTTGGGTTCAAGAGCTCCCTGAAATACTCCTGCCGTCTGTTTTTGATGCTGTCTTTTTCACGGAGTGGGTTTTCATCTTTGTCATTGACTACTGTTGTTGGGTTGTATGGTTCGTCTCGTAGTGTCACTGCTTTGACACTTTTGTAGAACTGTCGTGGCGAGTGTTTGCACAGTTCACTTAATATTTCACCATATTCCTTTTATGACTGCTCCTTGGAGCTTCTGACTGTCCTCTTGCTATGACGTCTTGCAAGTCTGTATTTCACATAGTCCTCATCTAGCTTTGACTTTACCCACGCCTAGTACAACTCCTTCTTTTCTTTGATGGCCTCATTTACTGTGTCATTCCACCAAGCTGTCTGCTTTGCCAGCCCTCTTCTGGTGTTCTTTGTACCACAGGCTTTACGAGTGTCTCTGTCAGCGTGGTCTTGAACACTGACCATGTTTCTTCTACCGTCATTTCTGAGCTGTCTACTTCTTTCAGCTTCTGTGTGACTTATGTCTCCATTTCCCGTCGTACTTCTTCCTTCTGGAGCTTTCTTAAAAGCTGATCTGTCTGTCTGTTTCTTTCCTCTTCTTTTTCCCCGTTCTTTCACTCCGCTGCTTTGTAAATAAGTTAACAGGACGGTGGTCAGTGTCCAGGGCTGCATTTGGGATGGCTCTCATGTCTGTGACTCCTCCCCTTTCTTCTATTCGTGTCAAGATGAAAATTATCTGTGATGATACATTCAGATCGTTCCATCTGTACCAAGTTTGTTTCTGACTGGATCTGTGTTGGTAAAAGGTGTTTGTGATCCACAGTCCATATTCTGCACACAGTGGTAATAGCTGTTCCCTGTTGTAGTTGCACCCTGTGTTAGTGTCGCTGTGTGGGCCAAAGTACAGGTCCTAAGGTGTACACGCAAAGTCTGTCATCAATAATTTCTTTATATGCCCTCAATTACCATCTTTATGCAGACGATACACAGCTGTATGGATTCACTACAACTGACAATGTACACAATCTCATAGATAGAATCGCCAGATGTATCAATGATATAAGAAAATGGATGTTCAAGAACAAATTAAAATTAAATGAGGATAAGACCGAAATATTATTTCTTCGTAGCAGCGCATGCAATGAAATCGACAATATCAGAATAAACATCAATGACCACGAAATATCAGCCCAAACTAAAATAAAAAATTTAGGTGTGGTGCTAGATCAAGATATGTCAATGAAATACCATGTATCCAATCTTTGTAAAAATCTATATCTCCAGCTGAAGAAAATAGGGAGCATTAGAAAATATATATCTGTTGGTGTCACCAAAACTTTAATAACATCACTTATATTGTCAAGGATTGATTATTGCAATTCCTTACTGGGTGGTGTACCTGATGAACAGTTACAACAACTACAAAGAGTACAAAATATTGCTGCCAAAATAATTACTAAAAAACTAAAGCATGACCATGTGACTCCTATTTTAAAAGCATTACACTGGCTCCCAGTGAAAGAGCGTATCATATATAAAATCTGTTTAACTTGCTACAAGTGCTTAAATGATTTATCACCGGACTATCTAAAACAGCTTTTAACACCCTATGTGCCTCCTAGAACGCTCAGATCATCAAGTGACAAAACAACCCTTGTTAAGCCTAAAATAAATTACAAATCATATGGCCAACGCTCTTTTTCATATTTTGCCCCACTTGTTTGGAATAGGCTTCCAAAAACTATCAGAGAAGCAGAAAATCTAGAAATTTTTAAGAAGAAACTAAAATCATTTCTATTTTCATCATATTTCGATTAGACAGAATGCATCCAAGCTGTAGATCGTTATGAGTTTGTATGTGTGTATGTACGTATGTGTGTATGTGAGTATGTACGTGTGTGTGGTGCGTGCGTGAGTGAATATGTGTTTGCATGAGTATGTAACACTATGTACCTTTAAAATTGATTTGTAAATCCATTATATGTATCATGTTAAGCGCATAGAGCATTGCATAAGTAGATATGCGCTATATAAATGCAATCCATTATCATTATTATTATTTTCTTACTAAGGTGTTCTTCTCTTGCCCACTCTTCCATTGAAATCTCCCATGACAATAAGTTTTAGTGAAGAGAAGAAGACCAGCACAGTAAGTTCTTCCTTGTCTGGGACTGTGCTTATGGTGTCTGCCATCTTCTCAAAGAATTCCTCTTTTTGTTCTTCGCTGTAGGAGTCATTGCACGGTGCATAAGCTTGGATAAAGTTTGAGATCTTTTGTTCTCCCCTTACTCGGATCTTGGAGATCCTCTCCGAGATAAACTCTGTTTCCAACACATTCTTTGCTGTATCCGGGTGTGGAATAAAACCTACACCATGTGTTGCCCTAGTTGTCCCATCCCCGCAACTCCAAATCGGGACGTAGTCCTCATGGATCTATTTGATTCCAGTTCCCTTCCCTCTGCAGTCTGAAATTCCCATCACCGGTATTCTCCATTTTTTCGTGAAATCAATAGCTTCTGGCTCTTTGTCTTTGATTCCACAAACATTCAAAGTGCCCGTTCTTTCTCGTTGTCTTTTTTCATTTCCTGGTCATTTTCTGTTTTGGTCCGTCCGTTTCTTTCTCCTATGATTTTCTTTAGCAATAAATAATCTGCCACCGGCTTGCTAGGTCCGTCGTGGTTTCACCAGAGCCCCGTTAGCTGGACATTTCAGGGTGACCCAGGATGGTCTTCAAGGCTACCGTAGCGGTCACGTGAGTAAAACCCACGCCATATATCTTCCAAACCCAGCAATCGGCTACTTTGTATGTTTAAAACTGTTATACTGACAAAAGGCCTCTATATCTCGAAACAGCTGTGAAATTTTTAAAAGGCATTTTATCCGCTTATGACAACATAGTTATATTTTCCCCACATCATATTCGCCTATATAAACAATATAAAAATGAATCTTGTTTTGAGCCTGAAAAAAGGCCTAGAACCAGAATATCGACTGTCAAGAACAAGTTTGGGTGTCAAGGTTTATATAATAAACGTGAAAGACAAAAATTATTGCACAAACTCAAAGTAGAATAAAAACTTGAATGGCTCAAGTAGATCTATTCAGTGTGAAAGGTGTAAGAACTGTGGGAGGGCAAGATGAAGTGACACTGAAAATCTGCAAATCTCGAACAGAAAGCTAAAATATAGAATATACAATACATGTAATTTACTATCACCCATCCAATGAAACGGGAACCCTTTAGTTTAAAAAAACATGGCTTACAAGGAATGAGTACGACAGATCCCGATTCCACACAAGGCCTGCACCAATGTGCCCTTTGCAGAGAGCTCTAGATCCAGTAGTAATCAAAATTCTGAATACTAAAATCTGCTTCCAAGTTCAGTTTTGTCATCCGGAGTTGCTTTCAACCCCATCCCCCTCCCCCGGGTGCGTCTTTAAAAAAAATCAATAATCCCCCCATTCCCGAGTCTTATACTTAGCAGCGTTCAGACTTTGAAAGAACTTTGGTGACCTCAACAATCGCCAATACTCACAATGTGATGCGAACGAACAGGTTCACCGACCGGTCACGATGGCGAGCCTGACAAGTCGCATGTATAACTTTCTTTTTTTTTTTCACAAGTGTCAGCACAGGACAAATGATTTATCTTCATTTACAGATTTCTTCAAATTCCCGGAGCATTCCCGGGTCTTGGCGATTTTTTTTTTTTCAAATTCCCGGGATTCCAGGGGCCTTGCCGTCACCCTGCCCACGGCTGTTACCGACCGCCAACTTAGTCAAACCGCCAGCCCACGGCACTCCCCGAAACCCGATACTCTGTGACCCCGGTCACCGGTCAGCGCCGCCAGTTCACCGCCGATGCCGAGTTGCAGTTGTTTTCTTTTCACACGATGTTTTTTAAGCGTATAAACTGAGGCAGTAAACAAAAACTATTCTAGTGATCTCACAGAAAATCACATACACTGAACGATCAATATAGTGTGGGCACATAGAAGCGCTCGTGAAACTGTATTGGGTACTGTTATAGACATACGGATGCCATAAATCTGTATAGTAATTATGCAAAGTTGTAAAGGGGTCTGATGTTTTAAGTAAAAATTCAACATGATCATTGCTTTTGATTTTGACAAAATTAAGGAAGTAGGATGAAAATAGGATAAAGTAAACACTCATGTGGTGGCATCAAAGCAAAGATATTGAAGCTTGAATGCAGAATCACAGAAAATGAGGATCCTTGATAAATATCATCACAGTGCACTTACTACTCATTTACACATGTACATATATATAGGGCCTATATAGGCGTACACCTGAAACTGGGGAAATTCATGAGTCCGGCGTCGTTTTCCTCCGTTTGACTGGTGGTGCAAATGCTAACAGTTCTGGGGAGCTCTGAAGGTGCTGTGATCTCATGATCACCTTCAGCTGTCGTTCTTTATTTTTGATGGATGTTGCTCGTCTGTGTAGTTTGGCCACAGAAGAGTGAATGAGCTCTTCCCCTTGCTCACCATGGAATGCCATATCAAAACCATTTTTCTGTATCCATGGGACGCAGTGTTTCTCTAGAATATGTTGTTTGGGTATGACTTTATTGTTGAAATTCTTTTTATTTCTATACAATGACATATATTTTGCAACACATGACTGAATTTGTTTGATTTTGTTGTATGGTATCGGGTTGGTATGAGATATAAAGAGGTGAACATCCCTAAAGGCATTGCTCAGCTCATTGAATGTGTCCCTCAAAATAAATGCTGTGTCTAGAATATCTGTTCTGTGTGTGCACTCCCGAGTTTTTTTGACTATGAATAATGTTAGGTCTCTGTACACTTTAGCGGTGATGTATTTGTGACAGTGGTTGACGATGAAAGAACAGCTGTGGTATGCCTGCAGTGTGATGTTATGTTTGTCTAAAATAGTGTCACGATATGAACAGATGGGTTCGGATAGAGGGCTGAGAGGTTCAAAGCCAAGGTCAGATAACTCATCTTGCTTTTCAGATAATTCTTTTTCAAAATTTTCTCTTTGGTCTGGAGTATTTAAAAAAACCAATGTAACCCTCGACGAGTTCAATTTCTTTTTTCAGCTCCTCAGCCTTCTTCCACTTGTTGCCATGAGCACGCAGCGATGCAGACGCGTCCTTGCAATCATTTTTGGATCGCAAACACAGCTGCATATCTATTTCATGCGCTGCGTTCTCAAGTAGGCGATGATGCTTTAACACAATTCCCAAAAGAATGTGTAGATATGGAGGCACAGCTTCACTTGGCTCCACCTCAATCATTGGAAGATGGAGACTATTGTGAAACCGCTGCACATTTTTCTTTTGGCCTTTGCCATTCTTCTTGAAACGTCTGTGGTCCCGTTTTAAAGTGGCTAAAGTACGGGGTAGAGAATCTCTTCTCTGCCCTGTCTTAATGAAGGACTTCGGCAAGTGGCATCACAAACATGGATAGGTACCCTGAGCACCAGACAGTCCATATAATTTCACAAGAAAGTCATAATCACCAAACAAAAAGAGAACTATTTTCTTACCGTCCCATTCTAGTTTGGAAAGTTCATCAAGTTGAGGTTGTAAAATGGACATGCAGATCTTTAAATTTTCGTATGTGTCTTTTATGTTGGCCATGGCAACTACGAATGTGTTGTGTTTTGAATTTGGTTTCCTAGTGTTTGCAATTTGCATTGTAAATTTCATACTATTCTTGCCGTGGTCACCCCCGAATTTAATCCATATTTCATCTGTTGGGATAGTGGAGTTATGCCATGTAAGTGTACCTTGCTGTTTGTGTGTTTCTAGAAGCCTAACTATAAAGTCTGTTATATTGGCAACCCTCCCAAGTAGTGTGCTGTGAATCTGCCAAGTGGTGTCAACAAAGTTTTCCACCTGTGTGACAATATTGTCAGCAAACAGACCTTCCATAGCTCTTCTTTGTTCTTTCTCATTCGGCAATGAGAGACCAGCTTGTTTGAGAAAACATCTTTGTTGCCTGAGCTGGCTCCATGTAAGGTCTGTTGCTTCCTTCATCGCCATCACAGATTGGTTACTCATGTGTGGTTTTAAGTTGATGCCTGCCTTTTCACAAATAATTTTTCGAGTAGCTACTTTTGTGTGTTTTAATTCTGCTGCGTGTTGTGTTGTGATGCTCTCCTGTGATGAGCCTGCGATATGTGTCCTGACAGATGAAAGCAAATGTGAGCGTTGACGTTTAGTGGATGACTTAGCTGTTGATGTTTCTTCTCTGGCCTTTATAAGTTTTGTGAGTACTATGGGTTGTCCTCTTGTTTTGCACTGAATCGTATTGGTACTTGAATTGTTTCATTTTCTCCTAACTAAATGAGTATTAAGGTTTTCTTTTTCTTTTGGGAGTGGTCACGTTGGGGAGATCTCTATAGAGACTGAGAGAAGAACCTGTCGTGTTTAAATGCTGGAGAAGTGCTGCTATCTACCATTAGCTGTCTAGGTTTGGATGGCGTAGATGTAGCAATAGGGAGACTTGAAGTGTTGCTATCTACCATTAGCTGCGTAGGTTTGGATGGCGTGGATGTAGCAATAGAGGGGAGTTGAAGCTCAAACGCACTGTGGCCTGTGGTTGATGATGCAGCGCTAGTATCGAGAGATGCGATGTCTTCGTCCTGTCTTTTTTCATGATTAGTATTGTCCTCTGTGTGTGTAGATGGCTCTGCGGTTGAGTTGTTTGTTGTGTTTGCCCAGTCTTCAAACGTATGTGGTGAATGTGTTGTTTTTGTAGTTTCCGATGTTTTTGTTGTTACTAATTCTACTGGACTTTCTTGCTCTCCATTGATGTGCGATGATAGTGTGTGCATATCGAACAGTCGCTAGCGCGTATATCAGACCGAAAAGCTGTCCACAAATTTGAGGAGGTTTCAGCTGCTTTTCTTGCATACACACAGATAGACAGGTCTTAGACAGGTGAAATCCTCGGAAGGGAGCCGATTTTTCTTTCCGTTTCCGCGTTGGGACAGGTTTCCGTTTTATACAGGTAATTAAAGAGGAAAATATCAATGGGGGAGCGGGGAGATTCCGTTAAGACAGGTTTCCGTTTTATACAGGTTTCCGTTAAGGCAGGTTCGACTGTAGATGCAAGTTGCTTTAAAAGTAATAAAGGATAGAGTCCATTTCTCAGCAAGCAGGATTAACACTAGTGAACGCACACAAGAGAAAATTATATCGTTTTGTTGGAAGCAGCCCTTTAAAATGAGACCCCATATGGAGACATCGCATCTTTAGATCGGGAGATATTAGAGATCAAATTAATCGAAAATGACTGGAATCAAGTTTCCTGAGCACGGCCGAGGCACGCCGGGAGTGCCGCTGCCGTCACGGTACCTTGCACGGTGACAGCTGATTTATTACTGTCTTGGGGTGGTCGACGGGAAACCCTTGCCCGGTAACTAAACTGGCGGTTTTGGGGCGATTTAAACAGCCATGTGCCATACACATCACCACCATCATAAACAAAGTTATACCAGAACACATGTGAAGTAAGAAGTTCAGCCAAAAAGTACCATATCCTCCCACCTGTAGACATGTCACAATGAGGATGATAGATGCTTGATAGGAAAAAAGGAGCGAACCATGCTGGAGCAACCACCAACCACCCGTCCAGACTATCTAATAACACGCGGAGACGAGGAGAAAGTGGCCACTGACCGGGTAGTACTCGGCCACAGCTCGCACTTGATCGAAGTCATCGCAGTCGCCCAGGAGTTTGAGGCCGCTGGGGTAAAGGTTGCCACAACGGGGGTACAGCTTCATGCGATCCTCCTTGCTCAGCTCTGTGCCAAACGAGTTGATGGTGATGATGAACGCACGTCGGTCTGCATCAAACTGAAACACAAATACAACAGTTTGTTTAGCTTTAGTAAAAGTTTTACAGTAAATTACAGCACTTGAAATAAAATTAGGTCATATAAGTGCCGAAGACAAGAGATATTACTAGAGTGTAACATACAATTTTTTTTAAAAGGAGGACATGAGATAAAGAGGGTAGATGTTTGACAGGAAAGAAGGAAAAATCCATACCAGAGCACCCACCAACCACACACACACCAGTTTATTTGAGAGAAGAGAAGCACATCGAGCCATAGTGAGGGTCATTTACAAAATTTAGTGTTGGGGAAAGCAAGACAAACACACATTTGACTGACATGATCAGCAAAGAGAGGATACAGAAGTAGGATCTACCGGTAGCTTCCTCCAACCACCTGCACAGACATAATAAATGACAGAAGGAGGTTAAAGAAGTAGGATGTACCAGAAACACCCCCAACCCACCCGCACAGTCAGAAACACAAGAGGAAAAGTAAAGAAGTAGGAGGTATTTGTAACACCCACCAGCCACCAACACAGACAGAAACAACAGATATTGAGTTGAAAAAAACAGAAGTAACCAGTGCCACCCCCCCCCCCCCCAAAACACACACACAACAAGAGCAAAACAGAGTAGCAGATTACACCTGAGCGCCCAGCAACCAGAAAAGAAGATGAGAAAGAGAGCTGTAACAAGCGCAAACACCGAGTGGTCTTCTACTTACTGCCAGAGCCTCACACATGACCTCCGCTGTCGCTCCTCCTTGCTTCTTGCAGAAGTTGTAGAAATCTTCTAAGTACGACTGCAACATCAAACAAACTTGTGAGTTTTTAAAAAATTGTACACCACAAAAAGCTCAAAAGTAGCAAAAAAATATATTATTGTGCTCTTTCTATCTAATAATTATCCACAACAAGAATGACAAGGGGAAGTTTCCTACACAAATGCAAGACATAATGTGACTGAATTAGAGTTTTAGTGAAGAGAAGAAGACCAGAACGATAACACCTAATCAGTAGACAGACAGGCAGAAATTAGAACCTATTAGTTGCGCACTCTAACATGTTGCAAATGCATACGACTCTGTTAATTGTCACAAAACAGAACAACACATCAGTCAACCAAACACATATCATGACCTCAGGGCTTTCTTGTCATATCTCCATATTTATAAACATTGAAAATGTGACTTCTTCTTAATAGACCTGCATGTGAGCCTCAACCAGATTGTCTGAAAATTTTGCGCACCCCCCCCCCCCCCCCCCCCCAAAGCCTTTGTGGGTGTCATAAAACGAGCGATCACCCCAACAAACACAATAAAGAAGAGACCTAACCCTACCCCAAAAAAGAACCTGCAATGGGCCTCATGTAAAAAGGCCAAAACAAGTCTTAAATGAAAAAAAAAATTTTAATTAAAAAACCACACATCAAAACAAACAAGGGGCATATATATCTAACCTAGATTCTAGATCTATATGGCTTACATCTACATTGCTATAGGGTTTGATACAATAACACAATAGAATTGGAATATGAATCCTCCATATAGGTCTAGTAATCTAAATAAATCTAGATCTAGATCTTGTAAAACAAGTGAATAGGAATAGGCCTTCAACTAGAAATCCGCATCCAATTCCGAACAGAGGGACTCAGCTGAGTCTAGATTCTAGATATAGATATATCTAGATCTAAATAAATAAATAATTCACGCACCTGATAAAATGCTTATTTTTACCAATATCAATATTACAGCACAACCTATGATAGGGTTTGACACAATAGAATTGGAATATGAATCCTCCATTGAGGTCTATAACGATCTATATAAATCTAGATCTAGATCTAGATCTAGATTCTATTAGAACAAGAGAGTTGGACTTGAATGAATCCACACGATCTGAACAATTGAATTAGTCAACAAATGAAATTCAAAATGGCCGCTCGAGCACGAAACTGAAAGTAGATAATTTAGGTTGTCGTCCTTTTTCGTATTCGCATTTCTACTTAGGTTCCGACAATTATGTCGGGAACGTCGACGTCGTCAGTGCGCGCGTCGGCAGTCGGCACGAAAACGAAAGTGCCGATGAAGCCGACGGGAGAAAAAGGGGGCGCTGGCAGTCGGCCAGGCCTCGCACTACGCACATTGACTGATATAGGCGGGCCTAGCGATAGCATCGGCCGGTTCGCGGGTCGGGTCGCGTTTGTCGGATTTCAGACGATTGTCGACAAACATGCAGGTCTATTCTTAAGCACACTCTTTGTTATGAACTGTTTTCCCTGTTAATAAAAATGGATATACGACAAAAAAAGCACTGAGGTCGTGATATGCTCAGCTGTGGCAACCATTATTGACAGAGATGCCAACCACAGAAAACCGAAATGAGTATTGGGAAATATGAAAATGTGTATTTTCAGGTGAAAATGTGTATTCCCCACGACCGACCGACCGACCGACCAACCAGTAGGCTAAAACAGCACCTGGACATGGATGGCTGGTGCCTCTATAAATAAATCATTGATGGTCGACCAACAAGAAATAGTAAAATGTTCAGGGTGTCCAGCAAAAAAAATTACTAGCTCACCAGCTCGAAAAAGGGGGCACACACGCGTACAATATACATGTATCCAGTCAACAACATGTCAGTGTTCAATGTTGTACTGGTGTCTTGTTTGACTTAAGTATTTCAGTCTAGATCTATTATATAATATTTTCCTCTCATTATTATATAAAAAATAAATCCTGCTTTGAGAGTTCTGAAGGGCTTAGAACAAGAATTTCGACTATCAAGAACCAGTCTGGGTGTCATGATTCATATTATGAACTGACAGACTCAAATTATTGCTCAAACTCAGAGAAAAGCAATAACTTGAATGGCTCAAGTAGACCCATGCACTGTGAGAATTGTAACAACTGTGGTAGGGCAAGATCCAGTGACACTGAAAATCTGCCAGTCTTGCACAGAAAGTTACAACATACAATGTAGGTATAATTTACTATAATTTACTATCACCCGTCCAATGAAACGCGAACACTTTATTTCAATAACACAGACTTGCAAAGTATGAGGGGTCCCGATTCCGCACACGGCCTGCACCAACGCGCGCTTTGCAGAAAGCTCTAATCAAAATTCTGAAAAGCGCTTCCAAGTTTTTGTCCTCTGGTGTTGCCTTAAACCCCCGATAGTATCTTGAACCCACAAAAAATCAATAATCTCCTCCCCTATTCCGTAGTCCTATACTTTGCAACGCCGTTACTCCCACCAAATACGGTGTTTACTCACTACGATGCCGCATTTATTTATGACGCGAACGCGCACAGGGTCAGTGACCGGTCACGATGGCGAGCCAGACAATCTAAAAATCGGACGACGCTTGTATTTTCTTTTCTTTTTTTTTTCCACAAGTGACAGCACAGCGACGAGTCAGAGTATTTATTACTTTTTATTTGAACGGCGATATTGTGTTTATACTGCACAACCTGCATGCAAAAAATGTTGCGTTATCAGACATGACAACTGCTGGCAAACTTCTCGGTGGTAATGAAAGCGAAAGTAGATCTTGATTTTCCCGATCGAGCCTCGGTGTCGCATACGCTTCCGCCTGCCGCCATAGCTGCCTTTTCGCGTGAAAGTGAAACGTACTCTCCAGACGGGGAAAAGATGAACGGATATAATATCACGATCGCGACCGGCAAAAATGAACTTACTGACCACATCGGACTTGGTTTTCAAATATTCCAGTTCTGCGATACTGATACTATTTTGACAAAAGATGGTACCTGAGATAATTAAGTTTACTCGGCCAAGCTGAATCTCGTTGTTTTCGCATTCCAGGATGCGTATTTTTTCATGAAAAGTCGTATTCGCGTATTTTCGGCCAAAAATCGTACTAAATTACGTAAAATCGTACTGGTTGGCATCTCTGTATTGAGTAACTATATGTGACATAAAATGTAGCAGAACCAGTCTCTTTCTAAGCGAAACAGAACAAATTCCGAACAGTGAAAAAAACTGCTTTAATACAGAAGCACTCACTTTGTACAACGTATTTCTGATGATCTCTACATTCATTTCATCAAGATCTTCAGCAGAGATGCAGTCCTTGATGTACGGAGCTGTGAAAATAACAGAAAACAAACAGTTATTATCATAACTGAGACAGACACTTGTGTGCATACCTTTCAGGGAGCATTTCTGTCACAGAATAACTGAAGCTTTCTTTCCTTGTCTAAAACAATTCTTTTATTAACAGTACTTGTCAACTTTCCGACTGTATCACACTCAGAGTGCAAACTTGCTTTTTCCATATCAGCAAAGAAGAAAAGAGCTGAATGACATCCTTGCGAAATCCTCTTTGCCTGGGTCACGGTTACTTTTCTTGGGGCTCTTGTTTGTTTCAATGAAAAGGAGTATATTGACACATTAGCAATCTGTTAGTGCTGGGAAGGAGTAAAACAGGTGGAAATAACAGACCAAAAAAAAAAGGACCTACCCGTGGCGCTCTCCAATCATCTACTCTTTCCTTCAGGGTGGCCAGGGAAATTTTCCTCCTGAAAATCCTACCACACCAAAAGAAATTCTACCACTATAAGTCCAGTTGTTTCTTGACATTGTCAGTGTTGCGGCTCGTAAAAGAGAATCACATATAAGGGGCTACTTCGTACACATCTTAGGATAGCGGACTTGATCACTGGGGCAATCCCAATTAACGTTCCGAGGTAGCCAAGTTTTGTGCAACTACTACTACACTGAAATCTCAGCTATTTTTCAGCCTGAAAACATCTCATGAATGAGAAGACTCGTGTCAACAACTGGTCTAGTTGATTACTAGATATCTATTATATTACTGTTGGTGCTCCTTTCAGTATCTTTCACAAAACTTATTCTATTCTTGGTAACCCTAAGACTTAAGACTAAGAATAGATTTGGCACCACACTGGCTGGTTTGGGATTTCATGTGTTTTTGAGGTACCATGTGAGTGTTCAAAGCCTTTACACCTGAATGACCAATGACAAATACTTGGGAACAAAACTTACATCTAAACTTGCTTTTATCATTTGGATACTCCATCAATCATTCTGAATACTTTGGGTTGGACAAACACTCAGTGTTGATGAAGTAGCACTTTCCCATGATGCTGGATCTAGTCTACAACTCTCTCTAATTTTATAGTCTACACATGTAGCAATGACCACGAAAAACCTTTTTTACCAGAAAGTGTTTGCAAATAGGTGCATTTTGTAGCTTTATCTTCACAGAGCATGGAACTTTTTGAATTTTTGAAATCCATCAATAAACAAAAAAGTTACGGATTTTTAAATCAATTAATTTTTTGTACACTTTTATATAATGAAAAAAACCCCAAAATATGGGACGTTCTTTGGTGAGTTTTGAGACAATATTCGTCATAACTCGCTCATTTCTCAGAGTATTTAAAAGAAACTTGGCAACCCAGTACATTTTCTAGTGCAGAATCTAGTCCTACTTTCCGATTTTTCATAGCTATCCTATTTTTTGAGTTATGAAGACGTTTATAGGTAAAAATGTGGCGGTTTTCGGTGCGTTTTTGAGACAATATTTGTCATAGCTCGCCTATTTCTAAGAATATGTAAATGAAACTTGGCAGTCTAGTACATTTTTTAATGCAGAATCTAGTCATGCAATCAGATTTTTAATGTATGTCATACTTTTTGAGTTGTGAAGACATTAACAGGTAAAAATAAGTGGCGTCCTTTACAGATTTACAAAGATTATCAGTCATATGTTCTCCCAAAGTCATGATATTTGAATGAAACTTGGCAACATAAAAGGTTCCTCCTTGCCAAGCAATGCTCTGGATCAATTTGTCACAAAAATATAAGTAGAGAGCTGGATTTATTAGTCTAATAAATCTAGTTCTGTACTAGTAAAAGCATGCATACTTTGTTATAGAAAATAAGATTGTCTCTGTGTATATTCTATTGTTGGACAGTGTCCTATTGTGTGGTAGATTAAGATGCGTTCAGATAATATAGTTAACAAGTCATGGGAATATTTCGCATGTGTAGGCTACAACTCATACAATAAATGTAACATATTTACACCCCCCCCCCCCCCTTCTCTCTCTCTCTCTCTCGCACGCGTGAACGATAACAATGTATAAACGGGACTATCTTCCCAGACTGGACTAAATAAGTACCATACTCTTTAAGAACAATCTTAATGCCTCACTTTTCCAAACAGAGCACACATGACGAGTCCAAGTGTGTGCTTTCCCAAGAGGGGGGAATAGGCTTTCATAACGCAAACACAATGCCATACCACTTCTCAAGATGTTTGCTTTTCTGTTTCTATTCTTCTGTCATGCAATCAAGCAAATAAAAATGACTACATCTATTGTATTGTGACTAAAATGCAACAAAAACGCAAGTTATCAAGGCCCCCATTTAGTTTTCAAGTATCCTTCCCCCCCTTTCCAGTTCACATAAGCGGGGCCTCGTTTGTAGCGCCCGAGGCGACCGATGGCTGATGACGTCACTCAGTGGAAATTTCCCAGCCGCCGGTCGTTCACCCAGCACGCGCAAATGGCAATGCCGCTTTTTCCCTTAGTCACTCCCACATTTTTAAAGATTACACGAAAACCGCTAAACACAGAAGCTTGAATTTTCACAGCTCCGAAAAATCTTCAAAGCGCACCACATCAACCACTTTCGCAAACGTTTTCGACTGCTTCTAGGATGGGTACAATGTTGTCAAACTGCATACTACGAGATTGACCTCTTTTCTGATTGGCTGCCAAGTTTCATTCATATCCATTCACGAGAAGCGGCGTGAGAGCGAGTTGAAGACAACAACCTTTGCGTTAGTACGTCCCACGAAACACCCCTGCTGCGGGGGCCAAAAATCGACAGAACAAAACGCGCTCGGTGGGCATTGCTACTATAGTCACAAAAATCATAAGAAAAATAAGTCTGTTTCTAGCCTGGGTTTCAGTATGCCAAGTGCCGTCAATCTTATACTCTCCAAAGACTATATCTGAGTTTTTTCATGGTCAAACAACTATCACCTCTCCAATGACACGCCAACCCTTTAGTTCAATAACACGGCTTACTAGGTATGGCGGATCCCGATTAGGACCCGATTCCACACAAGGCCTGCTCCACATGAACTCTGCAGAAAGCTCTTGTTGCAATCAAAATTCTAAATGCTAATGCTAAAATTTGCTACCAAGTTCATTCCCTGGTGTTGCCTTTAACACACACAACCCCACCCCCCACCCCACCCGAGTGTATCTTTTAAAAAAATCAATAGTCCCGCCATCCCGGAGTCCTATACTTCGCAGCGATCAGACTTAAAATGAACTTTAGTGACCTCAACATTCGCGGTACTCACTCGATGCCTTATCATGTTTGTGACATACAAACGCGCAGGTTCACTGACCGGTCACGATGGCCAGCCCGACAAGACGTTTGTATAACTTTCTTTTCTTTTTACACAAGTGACAAGGGTTGATTTATTTTCATGGCCTTTGTAATGCAAAAACTGCAGGTTACAATGTTGTGTTATCAGACTTTTACCGGCAAATTTCAAGGAGGTAGTGAAAGCAAAAGTATATCTAGATTTTCCCGATCGAGCTTCAGCATCACTCATACACTTCCGCTTGCCGCCATAGCCACCTGTTCGCATGAAACGTACTCTCAGACCGGGAGAAGCCGAATGATCGCAACAGACAAAATGAACTTAGCCTAGGGACGTTATTGGATTTCAAATATTTGAGAACTTTTAGATATTTTCTCGGGTCTTTCCCGGGGCAACTTGCAGATTTCCTCAAATTTCCTTTTATAGCCGACGTTTATCTAACCATTTCCGCCGGAGCAAAATTTTTCAGACATAAATCCGACTTATCCAATCTACACAAACATTTCCGACCAATTGCCGACTTTCCCACTTCCCTGGCCACCCTGTCATTTCAGTCAATGAAATACAAACACTTTTAACATTATTCAGTCGTATGAAACAGAGAATAAAGGGAAAAAAATAGGATCAATGAGACAATCCACTCATAATCACAATCGTCATAAAGTGCAAGGAGTCACAAATGTCTTTGAAAAACCCCAATCAGGAGACTGGGCTTCGCTGCATTCTTGATTCTCATTTGTTTACTGTACAAGTTGAGATATGGCAGTTTATAAGAACTGTATCATATTACATTAATCAATAAGGTGTAGAGTGTCACTTTGGTCTATCTGCTCCTAAAAACATAGAGCGTCACTTTGGTCAAACCATGTCCAAAGAAGTTGGAACATCACTTTGGTCTAGTTATGCCTACAGACGAAAAACCCCACTTCAGTCTACCTATACCAAAAGACCCAGAGCGTCACTTTGGTCAAACCATGCCTAAAGACGTTGCGTCTCACTTTGACATAGCAGTGCACAAATATGCAGCACAGCCCAGCCCCCCCCCCCCCCCCCCCCCTCAACCATTGAGTCGAAACAAGAGTTTACCGAGCGGCGTGTCTACGAGCACAGCGTTGTACAGCATGATGGACGTGTTGGCCAGGTTGATGGCTGCCAGCTGGTCGAACGTGCCCAGGGGGTGACACTTGGGCAGTAGCTCGTGGATCGGTCGTCCATGGAGGGTACCAGTGATCAGCAGGATAACGTTGTCGATCATGTAGCTGTATCTGTGAGGTTATAAAGAGAGGAGTAAATTACTTCAATGTCACTGCTACTCAAATTTATCTTGTGAGGTTATAAAGAGAGGAGAATTTTTAAAAATCTTAAAACAAACATAGATATAGAAACTTATGAAACTGTTCCTGTGATAACGAGAGGAATATGAGGAAATTACTTCACTGACATTAACCCTTTTTTTTTGTATATACCTCTCTAGAATCCTGAATTGACATAGAAGAGCAGCGTGCTTAAAATAGCACAGCTGGCTACTTCTGTGGAGGGGGGAAGGTGGTATTTTACCGACCTTGCCTTTTTCCGATATTAAAAAAAATTATTATTTTGTCTCAAGTGCACCTCAAAGGACATTGACTTCAGACCTCTACGGCAGCATAATTAGTTTGGCTATTCCGTGTTTATGCTCAAGTTTCACTTAATTTTCTGAAAAAGATAAAGAAGAAAAAAAAAACCCGGGACCACAGGCACAGTTCGGCGGATGCGTCATTTCGAGTCTTCTGTGTTTGACCTTCTATCCGTATTATACTGTAACAGTTAGAACATCATGTGTCTCTTCATTACTTCAATCATGATCTTTTTCAGCATACAATGAGAAGCTGAAGAAAAAGAATATAAAAATATATAACTTCTACAATTGAAAGATGATGAAAATTGAATTTTGAGCTAAAAGTTCACAGCAAAGGAACACTAAAAAAGGTAGAAAAAGACATTTGTTTCAGTTTCACAGTCAACCTTACTTGATGTAATCCAAAAAACCAGACAGAGGTTGCAAAGCATGGTTACGCATGTGCTCCACTTCCACCACAAGCTTTTCCCTCAGTTTGTCATCAATCACTGACACTGTGAGAGGACTAGGCTCATTCGCCAGGAAATTGCCGTAGTCTGTTGACTGCAAGTGTAGCTTCAAATCTGGGGACATTGAAAATAATCGAGATATAACATTAACAGACGGCTGCTGGTGGGTATATTGATGAGTCTTTTTGGGGGGGGGTATGGTAAGAGGACTGTGACGAAAATCTCACTTTGTTTTGAGAAACTGCCATTTCAAAAGTAGGCCTATTTACAATATGTAGTGGCAGTGGTGACCTAGAGTCCTAGAGGTACAATGAAGGCTGCCATTATTCCTGCCCCGGGAAGGAATAAGATTTTCTCTTATTTCCATCCCCCTGAGGGGATTTTATAATATTTTACTCCATTTTTTAAAAACTAAGGTGTGTGTGTTCTATGCATGATTTAGTTTTCCTTTCATCCATATTTTTTGGGCCTTTTTCTTTGCTTTCAATGAGACTGATTTGATATATGACAGAAAGCATTCAAAAGGTTAGAGTGATGTTCTTCCCCTCAGCATTAGCACTTTCCTTTGAATGTGCTCAATACTTCCAGACCCAGCATAAAATTGTAGAGCAGGCGTACTAGATTTCTAGATCTCTACTTAGGCTAGATCTGCTAGTGTATGTGTCTTATTCTCACCCTTGGTTTAGAGGTAGGCCTTCAGCCTGTATTACATCTATAAAACATTTAGAATCTAGATCTAAACAGATACAAAAGATGAGAAGTGACCCGATCCGGGTGGGAATAACAAAAAAAATTATGGCCGGCTCTATTTCTACAAACGTTCCGGAAAATAAACTCTATTTCTCTGAACGGTTTTCATTCTCGAGATTTTAATAATGGAGTGGCCCGCGCTCGCGTGTGGATCTCTGAGTGTGCATGTGTTTGTGTGAGAGAGAGAGAGAGAGAGAGAGAGAGAGAGAGAGAGAGAGAGAGAGTGTGTGTGCATGTGTGTGTGTGAGGTGTGAGCGGAAAGGGGGTGGAGGAGGCAGCGCATATATGCGAAGAGGGATTTTTTGTGAAAGAGTTTTTGCTTTGACTAAATGCAAAATAGGTTAATGCCAAAGCCGAGCAATCTTGTTTTCTCGCAGCACCTTTTGAAGGCATTTTCAAATGAAGTCCGGGAACGTTGCCCCAACCACAATTGAAGTATCGGAACATTCAGATATTTAAAAATCTCTAGATTCTAGCTCTAGAAATTGAATTCTATGCAAAAAATGTTACTTCCCAGTACTCACAGAATGGCAGAATGAAAGATGACCCCGAACTCTCGCAAATAACCAAAAAATCTTGAGAACTGAAACCGTTCGGAGAAATAGAGTTCAAGTTTATTTTCACGAACGTTCAGAGAAATAGTCACTTCGAAAAATTACGGCCACCTTTATTCTCAACGCGGGTGAAAACAGCCCACGTCTCGCTATTCTCACCCCCCCAATTGGTGATAATTGGTAGGCCTAAAAGGAAAAGTAGGCTAGATCTATACTTCTATTGAAACATAAGTAGATCTATAAAATATATGAACTAGATCTAGATTCTATATATAGACCTGCATGTGAGCCTCAACCAGATTGTCTGAAAATTTTGCGCAACCCCCCCCCCCCCAAGCCTTTGTGGGTGTCATAAGGAAGGACATCTGAGTGACGAGCGACCACCCCAACAAAAACACAATAAAAAAGAGACCTAACCCTAACCCCAAAAAGAACCTGCAATGGGCCTCATGTAAAAAGGCCAAAACAATTCCTAAATGAAAAAAAAATTTTAATTAAAAAAACACACTCCAAAACAAACAAGGAGCATAGATCTAGATCTAGATGGCTTACATCTACATTGCTATAGGGTTTGATACAATAACACAATAGAATTGGAATATGAATCCTCCATCTAGATCTAGATTTAGATTCTAGTAATCTAAATAAATCTAGAATCTAGATCTAGATATAGATCTAGATCTTGTAGAACAAGTGAATAGGAATAGGCCTAGAACTAGATCTAGAAATCTGCATCCGATTCCGAACAGAGGGACTCAGCTGAGTCTAGATTCTAGATCTAGATCTAAATCACAGAATTCTACACTGAGTGTAGAATTCTGTGATCTAAATAAATAAATAATTCACGCACCTGATGAAATGCTTATTTTTACCAATATTAATATGGCCGGCACTATTTCTCCGAACGTTCGGGAAAATAAAGCTGGGCACTATTTCTCCGAACGTTCGGGAAAATAAAGCTGGGCACTATTTCTCCGAACGTTCAGGAAAATAAAGCTGGGCACTATTTCTCCGAACACTCTGAAATATCATCCTTTCCCCCAAATTTCGGATATTATATAGAGATCTATAATTATAGTATAGGCCTACCAAAGATTGTTCGTATACAATATGGTTCAATCGGTCCAAAAAATGTCCGGCGTAAATATTTATATAAAGAAATGCTACAATTCCAAACAGTTTTTCGCTATAGATATGACGTGTTGCCTATGAAGGGTACTGCTTTTAAACGTAATGTGTTGTGTTCACTCGTGTGCTGTCTAGATCTAGATCTACGGAGGGTTATTGATAACGACACATAGAACTGGCATCTGCGTTTGTCACTGCTGCGACCAATGTACTGACACTGGCAAGCCCCTTAATGTGTGTGATTCCATAATTTACATGTAATATCCTGTACTTTTTTAAAAATTACGCACATTTAGGGTTAAAACTGCCAATCTTCTTCGGATAGGTGGACACACGCCCTTATTTGTTAATGTTTGTTGTTGTTTATGGGCTGTTCTAATTTTGATTTCTTTCTGTTGTGAAACCTTTCTTTTTCACGTTTTTACACTCATCTAAAAATCTCATCTAGACTAGCTGTTGAAAATTGAAATAGATATAGACCCAAAAATTTGCTCCTGTGTGTGTGTGTGTGTATGTATGTGTGAGTGTTTGAGTGTGTCTGTGTGTGGTAGTAAGTGGAGAGTGAGGAGTGTGTGTGTGTGTTTGTTTGTTTTTCGGGCTTTATTTCAGCCTTTATTCAGTAACAGTTCAAAGTATACAAAAATAGAAACACAGGATCCATTCACTCCAGGACTCATGAGTCATTCGTCTCTTTCAGTTTCACTCTTTCATTCAATTCCCGTGTTCTCTCCCGCGGCTCATCCCCGTCCGCATGACTTTCATACCCCACCCCATCCCTCCAGGCACACACAAAGAAAATCTCACTTGTTCCCTGCGAACCATGGACAATAATATAGGCAAAACACCGCCTGAGCTACATTCCTTTTGTTCGTGAGCTGTGGACCAGGCCAGGGGTGGTCAGTGTCGTCGTCTTGTAGTTGCTGTCGCCTGTGGATACACTCGCACATTCTTCCTTTCACCCGCTCTTTCACTCACACTGTCTCTCCATCCACAGTTCAGCTCGTCATACGTTCAAAAGTTGCCCACTAGTTATGTTTAGTTAGTGTGTGTACATGTGCATGATGATGGTGGGTGTGTGGTGGGTGTTACTGAAGTTTGTCTGTAGGCGGGCTTGCCATGCGGTACGTGTTCCTTCCCAGACCAGAGGCTGAATGAAAGTTGGCGCCGAACTCTCGCAATAAATAGGCAAAAAATCACGAGACCGGAAGCCGAAAACCGTTCGGAGAAATAAAGATCGGCACTATTTCTCCGAACGTTCGGAGAAATAGTCACTTCGTATTAATATTACAGCACAACCTATGATAAGGTTTGACACAATAGAATTGGAATATGAATCCTCCATTGAGGTCTATAATGATCTATATAAATCTAGATCTAGACTCTAGATCTAGATTCTATTAGAACAAGAGAGTCGGACTTGAATGAATCCACACGATCTGAACAATTGAATTAGTCAACAAAAGAAATTCAAAATGGCCGCTCGAGCACAAAACTGAAAGTAGATAATTTAAGTTGTCGTCCTTTTTCGTATTCGCATTTCTACTTAGGTTCCGACAATTATGTCGGAAACGCCGACGTCGGCAGTCGGCGGTGCGCGCGTCGGCGGCACGAAAGTGCCGACGAAGCCGACGGGAGAAAAATGGGTCGCTGGCAGTCGGCCAAGCCTCGCACTACGCACATTGACTGATACAGGCGGGCCTAGCGATAGCATCGGCCGGTTCGCGGGTCGGGTCGCGATTGTCGGCAAACATGCAGGTCTATATATAAATATTATTATAGGTGTCTTTGTTTTTACACAAAACCAAGAGTGGAAATCTTTTGAAGTCAAAACAAACAATTATGGGGAAAAAATTGTTGGTCAGTAGGGGGAGGAGAGAGAAGAAGAAGAAAAAAGAAACTTCCGGGACCGGGATTCGAACCCACACTCAAAATATAATACTTCTTCTCACACAGACACGCTATCATTTCGGCAATCAGAACTATCAACAGAATGAGGTAGATTTAAGCTTAAATATTTTTACAGCACGGTTTCAACGCAGATCTAGACTTAGTTTTTTTTACAGAAGTGGCTATCCTCACCCGCGGTGAGAATAGAAATACGATGTACCTCTCACCCCGGGTGAGACTTGACAGCGCTGGCTATTCTCACCCGGTGTGAAACAAGACCTGTTTTTCCTCATTTCAGAATACTGTCTATCGGTGTGGATGATCAAATTGATAAAAGCCAAGAAAAAATTACTTTATAGCACAAAAGTAAGCTAATTTGACCATCTACAAAGATGCTATGGCTATTTCACTTTTCGAATCGGGCCGAACTACGCGGATCGCCATTCTGTTTTGCTCGGAAGTTCTCGCAAGATCTACTCCTCCCCTCTCTCTCTCTCTTTCTGAATACTGTCTATCGGTGTGGACGATCAAATTGACCAAAACAAAGTTAAAAAATGGATGTTAAAACACAAAAGTAAATTAATTTGGTTGTCTACAAAGATGCTACGGCTATTTAACTTGAAAGTGGCTATTCTCACCCGCCCGGAAGTTCTCGCAAGATCTACTCCTCCCCTCTTCTCTCTCTCTCTGTCTCTTTCTGAATACTGTCTATCGGTGTGGACGATCAAATTGACCAAAACAAAGTTAAAAAATGATGTTAAAACACAAAAGTAAATTAATTTGGTTGTCTACAAAGATGCTACGGCTATTTAACTTTTCGAATCGAGCCGAACTACGCGGGTCGCCATTTTGTTTTGTTCTCTCTCTTTCTCTCTCTCACTCTCTCTCTCCACTGCCCCCTGACAAAATTGTACGCTTTTAGTAGGCTACAAGTACAGTTGTAATAATGGAACGTTTGTTCACAGCACAGAATTCTACAATTTTTCTGTTATTTATCACAGTGTAGAATTCTGTGGTTTAGGGTGAACGCAAAATTTGTTGGCCTAGATCTAGGCTATAACGGTGAAGGCGCACCGGGTGAGAATAGCCAAAAGACTCGCCTGCACTATTCTCACCCCGGGTGAGAATAGAGGTGGCCATTTAACTTTTCGAATCGAGCCGAACTACGCGGGTCGCCCTTTTGTTTTGACCGGAAGTGCTCGCGCTACTCCTCTCTCTCTTTCTCTCTCCACTGCCCACAGACAAAATTGTACGCTTTTAGTAGGCTACAGTTGTTGTAATGGAACGTTTGTTCACGGCACAGAATTCTACAATTTTTCTGTTATCACAGTGTAGAATTCTGTGGTTTAGGGTGAACGCAAAATTTGTTGGCCTAGATCTAGGCTACAACGGTGAACGCGCACCGGGTGAGAATAGCCAAAAGACTCGCCTGCACTATTCTCATCCCGGGTGAGAATAGAGGTGGCCAATCACAAAAGAGTTCCCCTACCGGCACCGGGTCTGTATACTTTGTGACTTTGTTCCTGGCTGGTTATCGGGTCTGTATACACTCCCTTCCGGTAAAACAAGGGAGGGGGTGAGAATAGCAAGACATGGGTTATTCTCACCCCACTTCCAAAAATTATTATACTGACTTCCTACAACAATGAAATGGCCAATGGCAAGTCTGGCAGGGCCGCCACCAGGGACACAGCTCTGTCTAAGACATATTGATTGGCCATTCACAAACTGTGATTCGGGCACTTAATATTAATAATATCATGTGGTTATGGCCAGGTCCTGCCATCAGTTAAGGGCAAAAGGGTAAATCATGATCCTATCATATTATGAGCCATGGAGCACAAGCACTGTCATTTGACTTTGACTCAATCATCAAGCTCGTAAATAGAATTATGAAACAACGTCACGTCAGTATTTAGCAGCAGTTTCTCGGTCATTTTTCGTTCATAGCATTAGTTAGAATAACCAAGACTACAAATAGATCTAGATCTAGATCTTGATCTAGATCTAGTGATATAGTATATATCACAAGGACAACATGGTAGCAATGTGTTGTGCGAGTCATGTGAACGTTTCCACTTCAACTTCAAATTAAATCAAATGACTGACAAACAAGGACAAGACAAACATAGCACATTCGACACTGACAACTTGAACAGGGCCTACCATCCAGGGTTTCACACTGCACGAGGTTTAAATAATCTGACTGTTTCAGAATTCCACCTTTAAACCCTCTCAAGAGGCCTTCAAGGTAACCATGATCAATATTGAAAGCGAGTTCGGGCATCATCTTGACAAGTTCTTGTTTGAGAGTCCACTATACAGAAACTACAACCCGACTTGTACCGGAAGTCATGCACAACAACACAAATCACATGACGATTGA